TGGTGGTGCATGTATGTAATCCCAGTGCTTGGGAGGCTGAGGCAGGAGGATTGCTGTGAGTTCGAGACCAGCCTGGGCTACATAGTGAGTTCCAGGTCAGTCTCAACTACATAGTGAGGCCCTGTCTCAAAAAACAAAAAAACAAAACAAAACAAAAAAAGATTTTAAAAAGCACATTCTAGGGCTGGGGATTTGGCTCAGTGGTTCTGCCACCTGCCTCGCAAGTGCAAGGGCCTGAGTTCGATCCCCCGTACCCCCCAAAAAAAAGAAAAAGAAAGAAAAGCACATTCTAAGTAAGCAAGAAGTAGAGAGGAGCCATAGCTGTGCACCTACTGCCCTCAGGCCTTTTAGCCTCTCATAACTATCAGCATCAGAGCACAAAACCCAGACCCGTCAGTAAAGTGTGCTGGATGCTTCCTGACGCCGTTCCTGAAGTGTTAAACACGTAGCTGCCCTAATGCACAGTTCGCACTTAGGACTGAGGCAGGACAGGAAAAGTAAAGATAGGTAGAACCCTAATTTTAAGAGTGTACTTTAAAAAAGAACTGCGGCTTCAGAACACAGTTCACCAAGGTTTCAATGCCTTTTCCCTTTGTTGGTGAGTCCAGAAATTCCCTAAGGGACTTGCAGATGCCCTGAGCCTGTAAGTCGGGGTGCACTCTGCTGAGAGCCGAGGCAGCAGTCTCCCGGACCCCATCCTGAGTAGCTGGCGGGATCACTAAGCTTCGAACCCTGCAGATGGTTTGCTTCCTGAGGGGTGGGTCATTCCAGACTGCAGGGACACACAGCCTCCATCGCCATCTTGGGGACCCCGAGAGCACGTAACCGCCCCCCGCAGTGTGCTCTCCCGAGGGCACGCACCCCATTCTCCGTGTGTGCTGTCTTCACTTAGGCTAGGACCTTTCTAAGGCCTCTCGGCGTGGCCTGCAGTTCTCTTCTGCTCAGAGCCAACGGACCTGTAACTCTGGGTGGGGTGTGCTGAGCTCCGTCTTTCCTAGTTGGGGGCCTCCTTGGGCCCCATCGGGTGGCAAGATAACTAAAACTATGAGCAGAAATGACCCTTCGTCGTCTTCCAACTTACTACCAAAGCTTTTCTCTGGCTTGCTGACCTGCGTTAGAGGAAGCACTACTCTGATGAAAGTCTTTAGGGTTAGAGACCTGCCGCCCCTCTGTAATAGTTACTTGCTAAATATTAAAGGATTGGACATCATGAATTGTGTGTGCACGCGCACACACACACACACACACTCTGAGGCACACTGAACAGACCCCAGCACGTTATCTTTTTTAGATCTTAGGAAGTCAAGAGTACTTGAATTCATACGTAGCAAATGTTTTTTAGTATTTAAACCTACAAGCAACTTAGTTTTTTAAACATATCACATTTACAGTTTTCACATTTATATCCATCTAATTAATTTTTAACAGTGACTTCTGAGTTATTCACAGAACATGTAACATCAGATGAGCACACAAGTCGGAGTCCCAAGCCATTTCTTTTGCCAAAGGGGGAAAAAAACTTCAAAAAGTTACTCTACTTAGAAAACGGTAGGTGCTGTATCTCAGACACTTAAAATACTTCTGATTGGCTAGCAATGTAGGCAGAATAGGTCAAAAGTCTGAAATCACTCATCATTCAGAGGTTTGCTTAGGTCAGAACTAAAAGACATTTGGGTTTATGTTTTCTTTGGAGTGAATGTGGCATGTAGACAATTTACAAACAACTACACACGCAGACCCAATGTACAGCAATGTGAACACACACAAAGATTTGTCATTTACCAGTTTTTAAAAAGTTACACTGTTGACCTGATTTTCCTTACTCATTCTGTGGCTAACTATATATAGTTCCTCGCTGCAGCAAGGTGAGCAGTTTACCTGTAAAGGCATAGAACTCTTCCTCTGTGGGCTCCCTGAAGTTGTTCTACCTGCCTTAACTTCCAGATTGCAGTCAGTTGTAAACGGATGTTGCCCAGGGTTTTTAGCATATTTCCCAGGGCACTAAGACAGACAGCAGTCAGACATTCCCACATTTTCTCCTGCTTGCTGTCCACAGCCTGCAGTGGGTGAAAAGCAACCTGTTGGGGACGCTGGGGGCTGCAGGGATCCGAAGGCCGGCATCCTCGGTCGGGTTTCCCTGTTTCTCCTTGATAGGCAGTCAGACCGCGGAGGGCAGAGGAGGAGGTGAGGGAGAGACCCCGATTGTTAGCAGGTGGTTGGGGAATGTTTAAATGAGAGGACCCCTGCAGCACAGCCAGTGCAGAGCAAAGGGGACCTGGGGACAAAGCAGAGGAGATGTGGAAGCCCAGGGGGAGCGCGCCAGCCACTTCGGGGAGCACAGGAGGCCCTTGCTGTACATGGACCACCTGGGGAAATGTGGACGGTCCTCCAGATAGCACAGCAACACGCACGATCTAAATGCACACAACCAGGCAAAAATGAGCAAATTTACCAATTAAAAAAAAAGCTACAAAAGAAAGCAGCTATGGATATTGTCCTAGACAGTTACTCCAAATACCCGGCCCTTTCTGGGGATTGTACCTAGAACCATGGATGGAGCTGTATCCCCTCATCTTTGGCGGGGAGATGATGGGGGGACGGCCTCCCTGAGTTACCCAGGTTGGGCTCAAACATGGGGTCCTCCTGCCTCGGCCTTTCAGAGTGCTGGGCTCATAGGTGTGCGTCACCATGCCTGGCTCCAAGGAACCCTGAAGACAGCTGCACTCAGTCCAGAGCCCTTGAGTTGCGTCACCCGCCTGCGCTGCGCCATAGTACAGATGCTGTCATCCGAGTCGCAGGTACCGGGACATCTCCAGGGAGCTCCCAGGTGGCACAAGCGCGCAGTCCCCACACAAATCACAGACGCCATCTCCAGACCCAGCCGCGTCTCCGGCCTTGGGGTGTCTCCTCCAGACAAGCTGGGACTTAGAAGGCGTGGGTCCCACCTCCGCCCACCTGTCCGTCCCTGCGTTACTGTCCTCGCCCTGGTGCTCATGTTTGCAGCACGTGTTCCTGGCCTGAAGTGTTTTCTAAGCCTCGCCTCCCGCTTGTGGAATTGGAGGCTGTTTCACCACCCTCATTTTGCACATGGAAACTCGGTATTTCCATTTACCAGCAGACATGCCAATCCTGATCGCTTTCCAGCCTGTTTTCCTGGTTTGATTGGTGGTATTGTGTCATTAGATGTCTGCAGGTTTTCGTGTGTGCTGACCCTTCCTCCGGGCCAGTGGTCACTGTGTCTGAGCTTGGTGTGAGGGACGCAGTGTGCTTCCTGCTCGTGATCACCCACAGCGTTCTCTGTCCCCTTCGTTTGTAACTTTGGTTTTGTTTGGTTGAGACAGGGTCTCACTGTGTAGTTCAGGCTGCTCTTGAAGTCCCAGTCATTCTCCTGCCTCAGCCTCCCGAGTCTGGGATTCCAAGCAAGTGCTACCGTGCCTGGCTCACCCCCTTTCTCGGTGTCCTCCTACAGGGCTTGTGTTCGCACGCTACGGTCCTGTCTGGCGACAGCAGAGGAAGTTCTCGCATGCCACTCTCCGTCACTTTGGCTTGGGCAAGCTGAGCCTGGAGCCCAGGATCATCGAGGAGTTCCGGTTCGTGCAGCAGGAGATGCAGCGGCACGGTGACGCCCCCTTCAGCCCGGCCCCCATCATCAGCAACGCGGTCTCCAACGTCATCTGCTCCTTGTGCTTCGGCCAGCGCTTCGATTATGCGGACAGGGGGTTTAAGCAGCTGCTGGCCCTCATGTCCCGGGGCCTGGAAATCTGTCTCAGCAGCCAGGTCCTCCTGGTCAATGTGTGCCCCTGGCTGTACTACCTGCCGTTCGGGCCGTTTAAGGAGTTACGACGGATCCAGAAGGACATAACTGCCTTCCTGAAGCAAATCATCCAGGAGCACCGGGCCGCCCTGGACGCCGGGAGCCCCCAGGACTTCATCGACATGTACCTGCTGCACGCGGAGGGGGAGCGCGGCCGCCACGGCGGCAGCAGCTTCAGCGAGGATTACCTGTTCTACATCATCGGGGACCTGTTCATCGCCGGCACCGACACCACCACCAACTCCCTGCTGTGGTGCCTGCTGTACCTGGCGCTGCACCCCGATGTCCAAGGTAACTGGGGGGCAGGCTGTTTCGGTGAGGTGAGCCGCTTTGGGGACCTGCTGGCCCCAGGCTCTGAGTGCGTCCGCCGAGCAAGAGCAACGCATACTCGCATCCTGTGGGAGCCGGGAAGGTGCTGGCGGTGACACCGCGTTTTAGACGGGAGGCCTTATGGCTGGACGCGCTCACCCTGCTGATTTCTGCACGTCTGCTTCTCTGTGAAGTGAGTGGTGAGGAAACACGGTTAGAGAAGTGGGTACTTAGAGCTGAGCCCTAATGCTGTGTGCACCCGTTCGTCTTGTTTGCAGAAAGAACAGAAGCGCTGTGAGGTTGTGGGCTCGCACAGCTCCTCCCGGCACAGCAGCGTGGACGGGCAGCGCCGGGGCCGTCGGGAGGGTGGCGAGCAGAGTGCATTCCTTTGCACCCCTGCCACTGAGGATTTGCCCGGCACAAGCTTGTTTTCTGACAGCTCGCGAGATACAAGTCTGACCTGTGTTGCACAGGGCCTCCTGGCTGCAGTCCTAGAGGACACCCGTTTCCTTGCCACCCCAGGTCCCTGGCCTGTGGCCCCTTCCGCACTGTCAGAGCCAGCACGGCGCCATCTCTCTGGCCGTCCCTCTGCGTCCCACCCCTCTCGGCTCCGAACTCGCCTGACCACAGTCACGCGTTGCTTTATGGCAGTGATAATTCGGGTGACTTTGCCACTGTGCGAAAGTCCGAGTGTAAACTAGGACAACCGAATCTCACGAAACCGTTGTCATGGCCACGGTCAGTGTCTGACGGAAACGTCAGTGAGACACACGACTGCCCCGAGGCTGGGCCCAGTCACATCTCCACTGTAGTCCTCGTCGGGGTCACGTGGGGGATGCTTGCCCCTCAGTGTGGTGGAGGTGGCCCCGATGGCCAGTTAGGCCTGTCGTGTAGCGCATCCTGGAGGACGGTGGCGCTGGCCGAGGACCCAGCTGACTCCCACAGGAGCTGCCACGGCTCAGCTCTGAAGCGTCCCTTGCCGGCTCGGGTGTTGACAACTCAGTCCCAGCTGAAGGGGTGGTAGTGGAACTTGCAAGGTGGGGCCTGGCGGGAGGAAGGTGGGTCACTGGGGTGTGCCCCTTACAGGGACTGTCGGGACCCTGGCCCTTCTCCCACTGAAGTACGAGCCAGGTCCGGTCCCGCTTAGCTTCTGAGTTCAGACGAGACGAGGAGCATTTAGGGTGGTGTGGCTGTGGCTGGCCTCAGCCCCTTTGCACACTGCGGTGTGCCCCTTGCCTCACTGTTCTGCCACTGGCAGAGGGACAGGGGCAAGAGATCATGGACTGAAACCATGAACAAAACAAGCTCTTCCGCCTCAGAGGTCCCTTTCCTCAGGTGTTCTGTCGCGGTGGCGGGAATCTAATGCAGTGGATTTCTGTCAGAGCAAGCTCGGCCCCCACGCCTGGCTTCCTGCTCACCTCAGCAGCTGTCTCTCTCACACGCTCCTGCCGCAGTGCCGTCCATGTTGTAGGCAGCCCAGGTGCTCTCACCCAGAGCTGAGCACACGGGGCTGCCTGAGCGTGTGCTTTCGGCCTCCACACCATGAGTTAAAGAAACCTCTTTTCCCTGCTCCACACCACGTGAGGTGTCAAATTTACAAGGGGATTAAGTTGTAGATACCTTGGAGAGGCCATCGCTCTCCATGGATGGTCCTGTGCCATCTTTGATCGATAACTAAGTAATACATTAGCCCAAAATTTAACAGGTTAAGACACTGCCGTTGATTACTTTGCTTAGCTTCTGAGGGCCAGGAATCCAGGAGGAGCTCAACCTGGATGATTCTAGTTTGGGATTTCTGGTGAAGTCAGTCAAGATGTTGACTGGGCCGTAGGCATCTGCAGGCTGGACTGAGACTGAAGGACCCAGTCCCAGCGTGGCCACGGGCCGAACTTCCACTCCGATCTTCCCACGGGCTGCTTCACTTGGTGGTTGCCTTACCGCAAAGCGAGTGACTCGAGGATGAGTGACAAAGAGGACAGCCACTAATCTCAGGAGTGGCATGGCGTTGCTTCGCCCTTCATCTTGGTACAGAGCGGGAGGGGACTACTGCACAGGACAGCAGCCTGTGCTGGTCAGCGTTCCGTTACTGTAACAGAACGCCTGAGGTGATCCGTTCATCGAGAGGGATGTTCCATCTTGGCTCACAGTTTTGCCCATGGAAGGCAGCACATCGTGCCCAGCATGTGTGGTACAGCAAAGCTCTGCTTGTGTCCAGAGTGCAAAGGAGAGAGAAAGGAAAGGGCGCAGCCCCAAGGACCTAACCTCCACCTAGGCTCCTCCTCTGTTTCTACTACTTTTAATAGAACCACTTGGGACAGGACGTTAGCACACAGGGGCCTCAGGGACGTTTCAGACCCAAGCTGTAGCCGACTCCACGAGCAGGGTCAGGGGCCATCTTGGGCCATGATGTGTCCTCTCCATCTGTTCACACGTGAAGGAGTCTCGGCGCTCCTGCCTCCAGTGCTCTCTTCTGCCCCCGTCCTGTCTGCTGCCCCCATCCACACCCCAGCCTATTGTGGTGGGTGTGGGGAAAGCAGGTGGACGTGAGGGGCACATGCAGCTCTCCCCATGGCGAATCTTAGAGTTCCTTCTTTCCTCCCACACAGAAAAGGTGCATGGAGAAATCGAGAGGGTCATTGGCCCCAGCCGAGCACCATCCCTCACCGACAAGGCCCGGATGCCCTACACGGAGGCCGCCATCATGGAGGTGCAGAGGCTGACGGCGGTGGTACCCCTGGCCATCCCACACATGACCTCGGAGAAGACAGGCGAGTCAGGCTGTGTCCCAGTGCCCTCAAGGGGAGCGTGTGCGGTAGTGGCCTCTGTCACAGATCCTGGAACGTCCAGGGCTGTTTTGGGCTGTAGTTGTCCACTGACATGTGAACTACAGTGCCCGGACTGCTGAGTTTCATTAACAGCTCAACTGCATACATGCTTATACTAGAGAAACAAGTAATGTTATGTGTTTATCATATTTTGTTGTACTTCTGGCTTTTTTAGACAGGGTCCAACTATGTATTTCAGGCTGGCCTCAAAGTCACGGTATTCCTCCTGCTGCAGCCTCCTGAATGCCAGAGTTACAGGCCTGCAACATCAAAGTAACTAGAAAGCCCACCAGACAGGAAGCTCTGTAACAGTATCCATGGGTGGCTCTAGGTGACTCACACATGCTGGGTTCTAGACTTCTTCTCAAGCAACAAATCTTGACTTTCTAGAGTCTGCTGCATTAAAAAAAAAAAAAAAAAAAAATCCCACAGAGTTAACAAAGGTGCCTGTAGTCCACTTCACAGAAGAGCTGGTCTTCCCGTGGAATGGAGTTTCACCCGAAATTACCCTGCCTCGGTTTTTCACACTCTGCAACCAAAGCATAAACAATACAGAATTAGGAGGAGCTGATCCGATTCTGAGGTCACCGTTTCAGTGAAACCCCTTCAGTGGGTCGTGTCCAGATTGTCTTGGAATCCCTGTCAGGAAGGATTTGCCCTGTGGGGACGGCCACGATTCCGTGGGCTTGAGTGGACATGGGTCACTGTCGTCTCGGGCATGGGCTGGAGGCGCCACGGTGTGCACGGCATGTCCTCGGGCACTGTGTGTCAGCTGACCTCCCTCTCCACCCCCTGCCTTAGTCTGCCTTCCTCTGCTTCTTGCTGCGTACACAGCTCGAAACTGTCGCACTTCACATGAGTCTTAGGGCTTGCCATTCTTAGGGCATTACTTGAAGTGCCCTAGTATTTGTTCCAGTGTTTTCCCTTATTTTCATGGATTCCCTTGAGCCTGCAGCATCAGAGCCCTGTGCCCGTCACAGGCTGGGTCCCTGGTGGTGCAGACAGACCAGGTTGCCAGGTGCCAAGGGCTCCCTGCCCCGAGGACTGACTGTGGATTAAGATGCTGAGTAGGAAACTAGATTTTGCCCCCGACAGTGCCATGGAGGGAGAAGGTGAGCAGAATGAATGATGCTGTGTTTCTCCACCTCAGTTCTCCAAGGATTCACCATCCCGAAGGGCACGGTGGTCCTGCCCAACCTGTGGGCGGTGCACAGAGACCCGGCCGTTTGGGAGAAACCGGACGAGTTCCACCCGAATCGATTTCTGGATGACCAAGGACAACTTTTAAAAACAGAAGCCTTTATTCCTTTTGGGATAGGTCAGTAAAGCCTTTGTATTTTCACTGACATGATTTTAAAGAAGGAGAACTCGGGTAGGGTGTTGCTCAGCGGCAGAGCGCTGGCCTAGCCTGGGCTCGATCCTTAGCGTGCACCAAAAGAAAAGAGCACAACACGGGACAGAAAATCGCTTACTATTCCGTGGTGCTGTAAAGTGTTTCTGCATTGGCCGCTGGTGGAGGATGCAGGCAGTTTAGCTAAGGCGATTCTGTGTTCATCTCAGTACAGACTCGGGGCGGGGTAGGGTTAGTGCAGACCTAGAGTGTTTAAGGCCTGGTGCTCAGTCCCTGCAGAGGGCCAGGGCCAGGGCCAGAGAAGGGACGACAAGATGCACTGGGCTCTGGAGTGCTGGGAGCAACTTCTGACCTCTGCCCAGCTGGTGGGGCGAGCTCTAAAATCACGCTGTCCTTCTTAGGCTCCTAGGTGGGGTACATGGGATTCTTCTATGGATGAGGAGGGTTCCAGAGATTCCAATCTGACCGCCCCTCCTTGGTCTGCCAGGTGACAGCCAAGGACTAGACAGGGTCGGTGTCATCCTGGACCTGTCTACATTCTGCCCAGATTGGGACAGGCTTTTAGGAGTAGCAGCGAAAAAGTGACCATGGTGTGGAAAATTCTGTCATCACTCTCTGCAGGAGACTGGTTTATATGGCGATTTTATTTTAAAACTTTTATCTGCATTCAAAACACCCAATTTAGGTGAGTTAGGTGTGTTATAAATTTCTGCCTTCTGCCAGGTGTGGTGGCGCATGCCTGTAGTCCCAGCACTTGGGAGGCTGAGGCAGGAGGATCACCATGGATTGGAGGCCAGCCTGGGCCAGCCTGAACTACATAGGGTGACCCTGTCTCAAAACAAAACAAACAAGAATTTGTACTGAATGAGGCAGCGGGCCCGCGTCCCAATCTCTCCCTCTCCAGGAAAGCGGGTGTGCATGGGCGAGCAGCTGGCCAAGATGGAGCTGTTCCTGATGCTCGTGAGCTTGCTGCAGAGCTTCACCTTCTCGCTGCCCGAGGACGCCGCGGAGCCCGTCCTCACCGGGAGATTCGGCCTCACTTTAGCCCCTCATCCATTCAACGTCGTCGTCTCTAAGAGATGAGAGATGACACCAACCTGCGTCCCGTGGAGACCTCCTGCTCCTGACCGCGGGCCTGGCACCAGGAAGAGGCCGGCAGAGCTCGTGGTGTTCTCGCCTGAAGCCGGACGCCGGGCTGTGTGCTTCCCCGGCACTGTGCCGTGGCTCCCACCCTTGAGCCGTCGTCCTCCCACAGTAAGGTGAGACTCGAACTCGCTTCTGTCTGCGCTCAGCAGAGGCAGGCTGACCAAGACGTCCTTCCGTGCTGGAGACGCCCTCCTGCTAGCTCCTGAAGACCCCTGACGACATCTGTCTTCCGCTGTCTGAGGGCTGAGGTGACACTGAGGTAGATCTGGTTTCCTAAAGCACAGGTGCTGTGTCCCTGCTGTAACCATCCTTCATTTGTGACTTCAGTTTTCAGTTTCTGTAGATAGAATTAAATGGGCCATTGTCCTGTACGCTGAGGAGAGAAAGCAGTCGGAGTTCCCAAGTTCCCGCGCAGGGCTGCTGCGCTCTCCTTCGGGGGCCCTGAGTGGTGGGCGGGACCGTGATGCTGGCCTTGACCAGGAGGGCTTTCCCTGGCCCCGTGATCGAGTGCTCTGCGGACAAACTCTCGGCTGGGAGCCCTGCCCGTGGGCATCCGGAAATGGTGCTCTCTGGCCAGGCTGGCAGAAGGGAGGCTGTGCCGTGGAGCCTGCCGGACCCCTTCTGAGGCTCCTGCTGCCCCGCGCAGGGAGGATGCTGGCGCAGTGGGGCAGCTGTACTGACTTCTCTGTTCCCCATACTGTGTGACTGTCACTCTTAGGGGCCAGCTGGGGCAGAGTGCGGAGGCTTGGGTGACAAATGCCGTCTCTGGGTCAGACCTCTGGACTGGACTGTGCTCCCTGCTGTCACTTGGTCCCAGCGAGCCCGACAGCCGTCCTCTTCCCAGTGGGCTCCTTGTAGCAGAGGGAGTGCCAGCGGTCACAGCACCTGCTTTCCCTGGCAGGGAAGAGCACTTAAGGGAAAGTTCCACTCCATTTCTTTTCCATTTTTTGTTTTTGGAAGACAAGGTCTCACTATGTAGTTCAGACTAGCCTTGAACTTGCTATGTAGCCCAGGTTCAACTGAATGGTGATCCTCCTGCCTCAGCCTCCTGAATGCTGATATTACTGATATGCACCTCCATCCATTTCAGTATGACCTACAGGTGGCATTTTTGTTGCTTAAGGGGTGTGTGTGTGTGTGTGTGTGTGTGTGTGTTTGTTAAATACCAGGGATCAAACTCAGGATCTTACCTTGTACTTGCAAGGCAGATGCTGGAACCACTGAGCTAAATCCTCACCACTTAATCAGTATGTATTATTTGTTATTGTCGGTTTAGACCACATTTTTTAAAAATGGCTAGACTTCTGTGCATCGTTTGTAACAACCATTTTAAACCCTGACCAATGCCTTAGCTGAGAAGCGTCTCACAGGGTGAAGGGTCCTGTGCTTGTTCTTTCCTGTGGTGGAAGTGGCCCCTGTGCTCCTGATAGAGAACAGGGAAGAAAAGATTCAGAGAAGTCCTTGGAGAATGGAATGGAAAGCAAAGCGGGAAGCTGAACTGGGGCAGCTGGGCTGGGAAGGCCTCCTGCGCCCATCCCTCTCTCTAGCCGTGTCCGGGTCGGCACAGACCCGATCTTCTGAGCTCCCCGTCACCGGGCAGCTGGGGTCTGGGCGTCCTCAGGACCACTCTGGGGGTGAGGGTAGGGTGAGCCTTTGCCGAGCACATTCCTGGGCAGACTCCTGCCTGCTCATGGAGGAGAAGTAGCCTACGCTGAGCGGAAACCCAGGAAGAGGCGTTGCTTGGTCTTTGAGGCTGGTTCTCAGCGTCTTTTCCCGCACCAGGTTTCCCCCTTAGGACTGTCACTAAGCACTTCAGATACAGAATCACGAAACACAGCCTAATCTTGGTCTTTTAGTGCCTTGAGGGTTTTTTTGTTAAGAAAGGCTAATCAACTAAATGCAGAGAAAGTGAGCAATATGGAGGGCAGACAGGGATTCAAGTGGGTGGCGCCCTGCCAGCGGGGTAGAGTCCGGCAGGAGTTCATGTGCTTTTGAATTGCACTAATCACTCAGCATTAACAGGTTTCTTACTCCTTAATTTATACATGGATTTTCAGTATTTCTGACCAAAGAGTTTGTAGCTTAATTGAAAAGAAAAAAAGAACTGCTTTGAGACTGTCAGAATCAGTTTATTAAACTTTTAAATACAGTGCCTCAAAACTGCAGCATTTTTAAAAAGACCTTTATGTGGCACACTGCTGAAAGGACTCTTGATGCTTTCCTTGAACGTACTGACGTTTCACTATTTTCGCACTTCATGGTTTATCAGAACTATACAAATGACTGTAGTGTGTTTTATAAGTCTGCCCAACACTTCACTTTTAGCCCTCATCTTTACCAGTTTTTGATGCCTTTAGAAAACCTTGTATTTTAAAGGAGATAGTGTCATATCTGGTTTTTTGATTTAACTGCTAAACAAAATTTTCATTTTTACCAAGTATCAAGAAAACAAGAAGAAACAAAGCAGCAGTCCTCCAGAGAGAGAGAGAGGAGGCCACAATATGGTCTGGGTGCAGTCATGAGATGAGAGCGCTGTTCTAAAATATGCCACACAGCTAATGTCACAAGGCACAGAGGTGGGGTGTGCCTTCCCACAGCCCAGCCCTATTCAGAGAAGCACAAGCCTCCCGCCCTGTGACATGGCACTGAGGACTTGTCCCTGAGGCCCTGCAGGGACCCCACAGCTACCATCATAACCAGCAGGGGAGTTGGAAAGCTTCTCCTCAGGGCTAAGGGCAAGGACGCCCACCCTCACCATCTGTTAACAGATACTGCAAGCCCAGCCACAAAGACAATACATAAAAATACCCAGCTCGGGAGCAAGCAGAATTATCAGTTTGTGGGTGATCTGACCATGTGTGTAAACACTCTAAAGCATCAACAAAAACACTTAAAATAAACAAATTCAATAAAGTTCCAGGATACAAAATTAACACAAAAATTAGTGGTGTCTTTTCTGTACTGAATACAAACTATCCAAAAAGAAAATTAAAATAATCCCATTTATATTAACAAGAAAAAGAGTTAAGAATAAACCAAAGAGGTGAAAGACTTGAATTCTGAAAGTTATGAAACACTGATGGGAATTAAAGACATAAAAAATGAAAGACATCCCATGTTCATGGATTTTAATAGTAAAATACATCCCACGTGGATATGATTATATATTGCAAACATATATTCATAAAAAAAAGCAAAATGGTCATAGTCTCCAAAGTGATCCACAGTGTAACCCTAATGAAATCCTAATGGCATTCTACACAGGTACAGAAAAAAATCTAAGACACTTAGGGAACTTCGAAAGACCACAATAGTACAAGCATACTAGCAAGAATAAGTATGGAAGCATCACTCTTAGTTTCAACATATATTACAAAGATAGAGGAATGTAAACAATATAGCATTGTCATAAACATATCGGCCATGACTGAAATATATGGTTAATGGTATTAAAACTTTATTACAGTAAAAGACATGAGCCTTACAGACTGGTAATAGTATGAGATTTTAATAAAGGTGCTTGAATGGCTAATATGTGAAAAGACATTCAGCACTGGTAGAAATTAGGGAAATGCACTAAGTGTATCTTTTCACACTTGCTAGGACTGCTATGGTAAAACAGGGAAACGAGCAGGTGTTGGTGAAGACATGGGTAACATGGGATCCTGGTACGCTGCTGGTGTAGTCATTTTTGAAAGCCTTGTGGTTCCTGAAAAAGTTAAACGTAAGCCTTGCACAGTGATGTTCCTGCCGTGGAGCCATCACCCTAGACTGACTACCCTGCAAACGTGAGCCACATAAACCTCTCCTTTAAACTGTGGGTGTTGAGTGATGGGGAACGTGATGGTGAAGCTACTACAGTAACTATTTCGTGCACTTGATACATGGCCCACAGCAGTCCCTGCTCATTCAGTGCGGCCCAGATAAGCCAGATGGTAGACACCCGTGCTCTAAACCCACTTAAAGGCGTTGGTCATACCATTCGATAATGTTAACAAAAAAATCACTGAGTCGTACACTTAAATGGGTAGATTTTATGATACATAAAATAAGCCTCAACAGGCTGAATTTTTTAAAAAATGAAGTAACATGGTGACCAAATGCAATACCTGGCCCTAGAGTACATTCAGTATGGGAAGGAAAAATAACTATAAAGGATATTATTGGGTCGATGAATTAAACTGGAATACAGATAACAGATCAGACAGAGATGTGTTATATTAAATTCACTAACGTTGATGCCTACACTGGTTATGTAAGGAAACTACTGTCTTATGAAACATATCCCCAAATATTACAGGTCAAGAATCACGACGTGGGTAACTTACCTTTAGTCAGTCCTGAATTTATCTGTCTATATACAGAAAATAGCTAAAAGCAGAACAATTGGCAAAGCAGGTGTGGCAGAATGTTAACAGTAGGTGAGTCGGGATAGATAATTCCTTTGCATTGTGTTTATTCTTGCAAATCTTCTTTGCTCTTGCAATGATTTATAAACCAAAAGTCAAAGTTCACTAATGCAGGTTTGACCATGATTTCATAACAGGATCCACCCTTACGTGGCCCCGCCTCCATTTCCAATTTCATCTTCAGGTATCGAAATGAACCCCAGGCTTTGGTAATTCTACATGGATTGCATTTCCACCCTCCACCTCTGTTCCTTCTCTCAATGTATTCTCTTTCCTTTCCATCTGGTTCATTATTTTAACACTTTCTCTGCTTTTTTTTTCTTTGGTTTTTGAGACAGGGTCTCACTATGTAGATGAGACTGACCTAGAACTGTGCAGCCCAGGCTGGTCTCAAACTCAGTGATCCTCCTGCCTCAGCTTCCCAAGGGCTGGGATTAGTTGTGCGCCACCATACCTGGTGAAAGCTTTCTAATGATCTTGAAAACTTCAGTGTTTGTGCTTACAGGATCTAGGTGAGCATGCTAGTTAAAAGTAACTACACTCACGTACACCTGAGTTCAAGTTCTGCCCTGGAAGGAAGCCTCTTAGACCTAGGCAAGTTATTTACTTCTCTGTGCCTCAGTTGTCTCACATGTAACATGGGGATGAAAGCACTGATGTGTCTTACATGAGTACTGGGTGTAAATAACAAAATACACATAAACTCTCTATCACGCAGTCCGGCAAGTGAGCATTTATCCAGTGTTAAGTGTTACTCTTGCAACACATTTCCTCACGAAGCCACACACCTCCCACAGCCTCACACTGCACTCTGGAAAGCATTTAAACATTGCTGTCACAGTTCTATTTTCATTTCACCTACTTTGGCAGGAACTGTTTTGTTTTGTTTTTGGTACAGGGGTTCGAACTTAAGTCCTTATGCTTGTGTGGCAGGTACCAGAATGACTGAGCTAGATCTCCGGCCCTGGCAGGAACTTTTCGAAGGGTGACCACAATCCAGTCACTTCTTTTTTCCTAGCACTTAGTGTCTCACGTTCAGTATACAGATGAATAAGAAATGTGTGCTGCCCTCAAGAACCTGCTACTGCAAAATTAATGGTTTTACTTTTTAAAGTGAAATGAGAAGTCACTATTAGCTTTTTTTCATTCTAAGAGTTTGGCTCTGAAGAATGCCTGAGAATTAGAATTAAGGCATATTTTAATTCTGAGTTAGCCTTTAATTCACTTTTAGGTTAACTAGCAATTGGGATCATTGTGAGGTATACTTTGGAAGTACTTTGGTTCTTTGTGGCTAAATTTAAGTACTTAAAGAGCATTAGAATAAACAAAGTTTGGAGCAGAGGTCCAAACCTATGGCATGTGTCGCAGCAACTTGATTTTATCACTGAAAGCTCTAAAAGGTTTGCCATCTCTGGTTTAGAGTACTGGGGCCAGATTTAGAAATTTGGTCTTTATCCTGTGCACAAAGCTTTTAACCACTTAATAATTTACTCCTAGTATCACTCCAGCAGTGTTTTCATGTACTGACTATCCTGAGTGTCACTCAGGCAAGTGTCATTTCAACCACTCATATTAAACAAATTTGATAAAATTATCATTTTCATATTTCCTGTTATCTTATAAAAAGGAATGAAAAAATATGAAATTCTTGGTCATCTTGAATTTACCATAGCTTTGTTTGTTTTTTTGGCACTGGAGATCAAACTCAGGACCTTGTGCTTGCGAGGCAGGCAGCAGAACCAATGAGCTAAATCCCCAGCAGTCATCTTGTATTTAAATAACTGGACCGGTAAGTGGTTATTAACTAGGGGCATCATGGCAAATTTTTCTGAGGTACATTATTGGGGCATATAATGCCATGGTTTTTTTTAGAAGTATTTCTACTGATTTTAAGAGTTTTATTAAACACTAACAGGAAAGTAATATATCCATATTAAAATTTTAATATGAAATGAGTATTTAGTACATCAGCATTTTCACATGAACTGTTCACTTGATTGCAAACCCTAAAAAATAACAACAAATAAATTCCTATGTGGACTACAATCAAAAGTCTACCACAGAAATAATCTTTGCTTCAACCATCACACTGAAGGCAATCTTCACACGACAGCACCATGTTCCACACACAAATCTCATTTGCACTGACTGTACATGTGCTTAGCTTTCATGTGTGACAGCCTGTTCTTGTCACCTCATCTTCCTTTTTTGTCAGGAGCTTAGTATATTATACAATAAGCACTTAGGAAAATAAAAAAAAAACATACGTTAGGAGTTTTGAATACACATCAATATTTTCACATTGACTGTTCACTTGCTTACAAAACCTAATAACAAACAAATTCATATGTGAACTACAATAAAAAAATAAATGTCTACCACATGGGGCTGTGATGTAGCTCAGTGGCACTGTGCCTGCCTGGCAAGTGCAAGGTCCTGAAATGTATCCCTGGTACTGGGAAATTTAAAAAAAGTCTACCACAGAAATAATTTTTGCTTCACCTGTCATAGTCAAGGCAGTCTTCACACATGAAAACTGTATGTTCCATACACAAGTATGCCTTACACTGATAGCATGTGTGTTTTGTTTTCCTGTCTTTTTTTTTAGGGCACAGATGACATCTTTTTGGTTTTTCTACTGTCCTAGCAGGTCTTTGTGATGTTGCACCTGCCTGTTCACCTGTCAGCTCCAAAATTTTTTGGCGTAGTTCCTTGGGCAGAAACATTTTATCCTTCTTCTGCTGAAGTTGTTCTCTTATCAGTTCCAGTCCCAATCCTCTAAGAAAATTTCTTCGTGATATTTTACACTTGCTATTTTCCTTGTAAACGATGAAACTATTTATACCAGATATGTTTAGGATCAAATAAAACACAATCATTGGCCAACGCTTTGTGTTCCGAGTGACATCATAGTTGCTACATAATTCATCAACAACATCTACGGCACTTTTGGTCTTGTTATAAAAAGTTTCCATCTCTGGCTTCATTTGTGTCGAGGTATCTCTGTCAATATTGCCATCATGGTGCAATGTTGACATCAGCAGTACCACTTTATTTTTCTTTGCCATATAGGAAGCCAATGTTATGTCTCTCTGAAATCCAAAGATTGTACTATACAATTCTCTATTTCGAACTTGCAACATTTCACTGGGAATTTCTGCTTTATTCTTGCGTATAGTTCCTACGCTGGTCAACTGGTGTTCTCTTAATAAATCTAACATCAATGGGTAAGTGGTAAACCAACTATCAAATGTCACATTCCGACGAGTTTGGGAGATAGGAGCAACAAGTCTGTTCACAACATCATTCAGTTTATTACTACACGAATAAGGACCTGGTGGCTGAGTTCCAGGATGAATTTCTAAATTGAAAGTATAA